GTTTTCGGAAGTTAATAAACCTATTACTACCATTAAACCAGAGCCAGTAATATTCGATATTACTTAGCTATATTTATGAGATTTTTAACTTAAGTTTATGGTTAAAATAAACAAGAACATATTAACCCGGAAACAATAAACTTTGGTGTCTACTTTTTTGTACATAGGAGGAGCAAACGAGCTTGCAGTGCATCTGGGGATAAGTGGCTACCACCGCCCATGAACAACTGCAACACCGGAGTTATATAATAAATATACACACTTATTATGACAATTTCTTTGATTCACATTGGCAAAAGTACAACCTCCATTATAACGAGTCAATTACGTAAGCAAAGAACAAAAACAGTGTTGACAAAATGGCGTACAACATTAAGGCACCGCAATTCACCCGTTGGAAATGTCGGCACAACATCTTTTTCCTTTGAAATCAAGTTGACACTCCTCAATCGTCAATGTATTAAACACTTTATAGTTATCGGTAGGATAAATATGTGAATATACAACAAACGCCGTTATACCCAATAATACAATGGTACATCTCTCTTAAACCGATTTGCCATAATCCTTAAGCGAACGCCGTCATACACAATGCTACAATGAGGTATTACGGGCCTATTGTAAGAAAGATACGCCATAATCCCTATGCTTTAACACTGCTACCCGTCGCTGATATGGATATGTTACATTTAGGTGTACCAGTTTACGTTAGCGTAAACGGGTTGGATGTATTTATATTATATCTATCTGGCATTTCCCGCAGTCGCTCCTTGCGACACGTGCTGCATACAAGGGCCGATAGTTTCAACAACGCCACTGATACCCAATTTAAATAAACTATATCGCAGTGCCGTGTAGAGGTGGTTGTATATCTACTCCCCCATATTATCACGTTAGTTGAAGGAAACTAAACCAGGAGATGGGCAACAGTATCTTCCTGAAAAACTGCGCTTGTCTAACCGCTTTTCAAGCGTAGCAAATGTGAAATATATCTCCCCCATGAAGCAATCTATAGAGGTAGCCAATGCTCAACAGTGGACTTTCGATATTACAGCGTATCGAAAGTCCTGTAAGGGCGTTTGTCCACCGCCGCCGTCACCGTCACGTCACCGAGAACGAGATTATTTCGGACCGAGTTTAACATGACGTGACGGCGATCGTATGTCCACCGCGACCGATTTCGCTGGTTTAGTTTGTTCCAGCTGGCATGCGTGGTAGTCGCGTTTTCGAAGAAATAAAGTGATGGCTAGGTTAAACAGGCGACAACTTCTTCTACTGCTTTTGTACCTTCGAAGGCGCAGGGGATGCCAAGAATTTTGGGTTCATCCGCTAATACGTGAACGATACATCACAGGGGCATTTTATGTACACCACGCCAAGTTCTGGCAGCATGACAGGAAGTTTTTTAACTACTATAGGATGTCCACGACTACGTTCGATTATATCCTATATCATGTTAAGAACAGCATCACACTCTAAAACACGAACTACAGGACATGCATACCACCAACTGAAATGTTTGCTGTAACATTGAGGTACGTAGTAAAATACTACTCCATCATCGCAACTAGAAGATGCATGTCAGTGTAGGGAAGGTCTGTACAGTTGGTAATATCAGTCTGCGTCACTAACTCACATGCGTCTTCTACCTGTGGCGATGTGTAGGAAGTAATACTTTTTTGTATTTTAATATATTTATTATTATTATTTATTTTGAATAATAGTATGAATGACAGGTCACCTTATATGATAATATGAATAACAGGGTCCAATTTTATAAAGCTACAAGTTACAATTCTACAGGCAAATTGACATTGATGCCGCAGTCTCGACCAATCACGAATGCGGATTCCGTCAACGTTGCCAGTAATTTACCTGTAGCCTGTAACTTGTAGTTTTATAAAACAGGGCCCAGGTCGTTAGATTAAACTTACACACCTACACTTAAGAAAAATCTTGGGAAAATAATTCTTCAATAGATTGTATTTGTTGCTGAGGTGTAAACTGCTGGGTTTCATGCTGGGGTGAAATCAGTTGGATTTCTTGCTGGGGTGTGAACTGCTGGATTTCATGCTGGGGTGAAATCAGTTGGTGGAAGCTACCATGATCGCTAGGTGTAGCAGTGATCGACCACGACAAACGTCTGCGGTTTTTAAATCTGCGAAGCAATTGCATAACTTCGATTCTAAAGTCAAACTTATCATCGTCGTTCAATTCTTTGACGGATGGCAGGAGGGATATCATAAATGCAAGGTCATCGTCAATTAATTCAGATTCCAATTCAGCGAGATTTGCCTGGATAGCTTTTAATATTTCTGGATCGACCTCATTTAGCCTTTTCTTTCCCCTTCGAATCGCGGTAGATGTGGATGTGGATGGGGAAGGTATTGATTGGTAGAGGTGACTATGTGATATTTGTTGGCTTTCGGGGCGACTTTCAGAATCATTTTGAGTTGATATGCTTGAATCAGTTTCGTCAGGTGTTACAGTCTTGAGTAAAAATTTTAGGTTATCACTGTAAATGTACTTTTTACATGTACTTTTGCAGCTTGTCCTGACTTAGTCTTAAGGGACTTTGTAAATGTGTCCCGAATGTTACTCCACTTGTTCATGACAGCACTTGCTGAAACAATAAAATTTAACAATTAACTTTTATTACAGATACCTCGCAAGTGGAAATACCTTCACCTATATGTCATATACCTTTCAACTGGGTATCAAGACTATAAGCAGAATAGTGACACAAGTATGTCACCAAATATGGACTATTTTAAGTGGTGAACACTTGACTGCACCTACTACAGAGCGATGGTTATTAATAGCGGAAGGATTTAAACGAAGAGCTAATTTCCCAAACTTTTGTTGGTTGTGTCGATGGAAAACACATACGGATTGAAAAGTTTCCTAAATCTGCCACTATGAACTTTAATTATAAGGGATATTTATCGTTTGTACTTCTGGCAGTAGTTTATTCAGATTACAGATTCGTATAATACGTTGATATCGGTTCATACGGCAAAGACTGCGACTCCGCAATTTTTCAACGTACAAACTTCTATCAACTACTCACTGAAGGCAGGTTGAGTGTACCTCCACCTGTTCCACTACACTCATCTCAAAATAACAGAATGCTACATGTATACTAGGCGATGAAGCTTTCTAGCTCACTGAACATTTATTACGTCCTTTTGGCGGTAATTATTTAGATGTGAAAAAACGTATTTATAACAGGAATTAGACGAAATTGAGATAGCACATGCAGTTGAATGCGAAGGAACTGATCTTGACGGGCGCATACGCATTAACAAAAGTGATTTTACTATGGTAGCACAAAACATTGTTAGTATATATAAAAACTTTGACGATTTTACACTAACCCTTTCAACTCTATCCTTTGAAACTGATATGATTACTTTAACAGAATGTAGGCTACACCTAAACAAACCACTCCCGCAACTAAATAACTACGAAGTCTACTGTACTACACGCCAATTGAACCAAAATGATGGTGTGGTTGTCTATATAAAAAAATCTCTAAAACACAAAGTAAAAAGAACTTAAATTACAGCAGGCATCATGCCTGCAGGTAGATTTTCTTAATAACACTGTATTATGCATTTATCGGTCTCCATCGAATCCAAATGCTGAAAACTTTTTAAATTCATTAGACTCTCATATTGAGTCACTTCCTTCACATAGCAGTATTATAATAGCAGGTGATATTAATATAAACATTAGGCCTCAAACTACGGAACGACCACAGGAATATAAAAACAGAATGTACTACTTAGACATGCTTGCAAACTATGGTATATTAGCCGGCCACACTTTACCTACAAGAGAGCAAAACTGTTTAGATCACTTCATGCTAAAAATAAATAAATCTAAGTATAAAGCATCAATTGCAGTTATGCAGACATCCACCACGGATCATTCTACTATGCTCCTGTCAATTTCTAAATTAAAAACACAACTTAAAGATAATAAAATTAAACAAACTACAAATTTTGAAAATGCTTTAAAATACCTACAGACTATAAACTTACCAGAATTATTATTTTGTAATGATCCAGTGGCTGTGACTAACAACTTAATACATACAATTACTGAAAGTCTTAAACTAAATACATCAGTGTCTAATATCCCTTGCACTAAAAGAATAATACAACCGTGGATGTCTGCAGGAATCTTACGCTGTATAAGAAACAGAAATAAACTTCAAAAAAACTTACGAAAAAGACCCACATAATAACATTCTTCGCATTACATGCAGACGGTACAGGAATTACTGTAACAATTTAATAAAAAGAATGAAAAGGCAATATGATAGAGAAAGTATTATTAAATCCTTAAATAACAATAAACTATTATGGAAAAATATAAAAAATATTACTTACAGTAATCAATCAAGAAATACTAACGCTGAACTACTCAATCTGAAATCATCGCCCACTGAATCTGCAAACTTCATAAACAGCTATTTCGTAAATATAGGAATACAACTTGCCAATAAAATACAGAACGTCAATGTGACACCTAGTAGACCTATGGAAAACAATCCGGTGCCATTACACTCCTTTGTTTTACTACATACAGACATAGAAGAAGTTAAAAATATCATTTTAAACTTAAAATCAAACAGCGCTCCAGGCTGGGACAATATCTCCAATGACTTCATGAAATTGGCAGTCAATGACTTGGCTCCTGTTATTTCCCACTTAAATAATCTATGTTTCGATACAGGGATATTCCCAGCACCATTAAAGCAGTCCATTATTACACCTGTGTACAAGGGCGGAGACAGAGATGACATTAGTAATTACAGACCAATTTCCGTTCTACCAACAATATCTAAAATTCTGGAAAAGTTACTTAATATTAGATTACTCAATTACTTAAATAAATTTGATATATTAGCACCCACACAATTTGGCTTCAAACAAGGAAGATCGACAGAAGATGCAATTATTGAATTAAGCACATTTGTAACAGAACTACTCGACCACGGCAAAAAATGTTTGTCGGTCTTCCTTGATCTGAAGAAAGCATTCGACACTGTCTCTGTCCCTAACCTTGTGCACAAGCTTGAAAAAATTGGAATAAGAGGGACTCCGCTTGCTCTTTTCAAAAACTACCTATCGGAGAGAAAAACAGAAGGTTAAGCTTCCTGGGTTCATTAGTGGGGAAGCGGTGGTGTCATCATATGGCGTTCCACAGGGTAGCGTTCTGGGCCCGACCTTATTTCTAATTTATGTCAATGATCTGTGCAGTATGACCATACCAAATGCCAAAATCCTGTCGTACGCCGATGACACGGCTTTGGTTTTTGCTGATGAATCTTGGGAGGCTGTCAAGACTAGTGCTGAAAGTGGGCTAGCTCGAGTCGCTCTATGGTTGCAACAAAATCTCCTCACTTTGAATACAGCTAAGACAAATTTTATTTGCTTTAGCATTACCAACAACTTGCAGCCACAGAATGACTTTTGCCTTAAAATTCATATGTGTTTTGAGGATGCTAAAAACAAAGCTTGTGACTGCCCATCAATTGAAAAAGTCTCTCACACTAAATATCTGGGCGTCGTTATAGATCAGAGGCTGTCGTGGTACCCACACCTTGAACATGTCATTAATAGGACCCGAAAATTGATTTGGATTTTCAAAACTCTAAGACACGTAATACCTGATAGTACTAAGCAATCGGACTCTCCCAGATATCTTCTTAACCAAATATACATGTCCCTTGCACAATCTATCATAATATATTGCATTTCAGTGTGGGGTGGAGCTACAAAGACCAAATTTCTTAACTTGGAAAGAGCCCAACGAACCCTTATTAAGGTCATGTATTTTAAAAAAAAGACGTTTTTCCACTGAACAACTGTATAGAATAAGTAGTTTACTCTCAGTTAGACAATTATATGTTACTATGACAATCCTCAAAGCACACAAATCCCTGTCCTTTGACCCATGCATATTGAAAAAGCGGCGAAAAGATATTGTGGTTAAGCCTTCTGGTACCAAAATAGTTTTTGCTAGTAGGCAATTTAGCTCATGTTCTGCATTCCTATACAATAAAATAAATAGAGAATTGAACATATACAACAAAACGTACAGGGAGTGTAAAAACCTGATACTTAAGTGGGTGCAGTCGAAAACTTATGAAGAAACCGAATTTCTGCTGTACCGCATTTCATAATTCACTTCTATATACAATATAATTTAACAAAATGATTTTTCATTAACACACACACACACACACACACGCGCGCGCACACACACACACACACACACACACACACACACACACACACACACACTCACACATGCGCGCGCGCTCGTACGCACGCATGCACACATACACACTTTTGTAATTTTTGTAAATTTTGGTTGTTAAAGTCGAGTAATTTGTTTTTGTTATTTTTGGTTTTTTAAATTAAAAAATGTATGTTTAGATAAGGAAGAGCGGGATTTCCAAACACAGGCATTACTTGCTTAAATGGAGATCCCAGTCAACTATGTCATTCATTTAATTTTTGTGAAGAAAAATAAATTATTTTATTTATTTTATTTATTTTTATTTAACTATAGACATTGTCGTGCACGAAGATACGTTGAATGTGCATTTAGCATTATGGCCAATAAATGGCGAATATTTCATCGCCCTCTAAATGTAAACAAAAACTTAGCAAAAGTATAGTTAAGGCATGCGTCGTTTTGCATAATATTTTACGTGAAAAGATGGCTACAGAGGTGAGGTTATGTTCATGTCTATTATGCACGATGGGCTGACTGACGTACCTAGGGTAGAAAGTGTACCGCGTGGTGGGCGTACCGCTAATGACATAAGAAATAATTTTGCTGAATACTTTGTAAGCCCAGAAGGCTCCTTACCTTGACAGATGAACAAAATCTAAACTTGTAATTACTTAACTAAAAACATAAATAATAAACTACCATGTACTTACTAATTTCGTCTTTGTTTTTCTGGTCCATATTCTCAAAATTCAGCTCTAAAAAGCACAAACATCGCGCCATGCATTTCTACGCAAAATTTTATCACATTTGGACACTTTCTTGGTTATATCCCACAAACATTCTTTACTTTCTATAACTTCCATTAATTAATAAATATCGTATTTAAATTTTTGGCCATTTTTATTACAATGCTATATTATGATAATTGATGACAGACAAAATAATAACTGAGCTCGTGTACGGTGCGACGGCGACGGCAGTGTGTGGACAAGTTCATACGTGTTTTGCTTGAACGAATAACCACTGGACCCGATATAAAACACAAATGTATGAAAACTCGTTCAACCAAGTGGAGAATAACGCGCACGGAGATCTTATTACATTAATATAAACACAGATATGAAATTCGTAGAAGTTTACTCTATTTCGAGTGCTTGATCGTAGTCGATAAAATATATCGATGAACGATTGAGAAAGAAAAGGCGTATCGTAAATAAGCTGTAAAACAAAGAAAA